AAAAAAAAAAAAAGAAAAAAAGAAAAAAAGAAAAACTCTGTATTGGAGAGTAAGAATGATTTTTACAGTTTACTAATAACATATTTTGCTCATCTCTTAGTATTTTAGGATTGTTCATAGGGCTTAAAAAATCTAAGAACTTTTAAAAATAAATTCTGGGGCAAATACTTATTTTAATAGCAAAACTGAATGCTTATTATTTCTATTTCTTAGAATTGAGATTAGCTTTCTCAGTATATTTCTCTCGAGTGAGAATGGAAACACAGATGAAAAAATTGGAATTACTTTACTTATTAAGTAATTTTTAGCACTGTTGTTTAGCAATTAGGTAATTACCATTCTATCTGATGCAGAATAGAATGTGGGATATATCATGTGAGGTGAATGCAACATGTGTAGAAGTCTTAAGTTAAGAGTTTGAAATCCTGGGGATTATGTTTGGTAAATTCGGAGGTTAAGAAATAAAAGAAAGCATTCCAACTTGGCCTTTTAGTGTTATTATTTTTCAAAGCGTCAACTCTGAAATGAACATATTTTTTTACTGCCACTCTTTCCTGATGCTGTCGAGTTTTAAGGAGGATAAATCAATCATTTTGTTATTCTTTTGACTCTGCTAGGACTAATGAATTTCTTTGTTTATACTTAATACATAGGAAGACTTTGGAGGATTTTTTAATGACAGGTGCTGACTTATTTTCCCTATTTCGCTCTTAATTCAGATCCCTTTTGCTGATGCTCTGGATTTGTTTCGAGGAAGGAAAGTCTATTTGGAAGATGGCTTTGCTTACGTACCTCTTAAGGACATTGTGGCAATCATCCTGAATGAATTTAGAGCCAAACTGTCCAAGGCTTTAGCAGTAAGTGTTTCACTTTATTTCCATGTTTGACATGTTCACACTTCCAGTTATATACCCTTGGTAGTTTTGTTCTATGTTTCTCTAGGAAATAGGTTAATTTAATTTTCGTAATGATTTTCAAATTACTTATGATGTTGTACTATTAATCCCAAAACTCCTAGGTTTTTATTTGTTACTACCAATAGTTGGTTTTAAAAATTTTTTTCTTTGATCCTACTAATACCAATGGTGAGTGATTAATTTTGTGAGTAACCTCTGTGGGTTTCTTCAAGATCATGTCTTTTTTTCCTTAGAAATAGACTTCATATGTGGCTCTTAACAATTTAGTGTGGCCTGTGGTAGATATAACTCCTAGATTTCTGTTCTTAATTAGCATTTGGTATTGGTAGAAGACATTATAGAAGAAAATCTAAATGCTTAAGTACTGACATAGTGATATACTGTTGCTGCAATGAATAGCTCCGTAGTGGGTGAATTTGGAGGTAGCTGTGTTGAGTAAATGACATGATCAGTGACTTTTAAGTAGTTTGTTGGAAGTGTGACTCTTAAGTGTTGATATCTTAAAACTATACATATTTTTATATGTAAAACACATATTTTACAGTTGTCTTTTAATCTGAGTCTAGTTTTTAATACTTTTTTTATACTTCATGCACAAGAGGACTTCAGACTTTTATGACTTTTAAGCTGTACTGATTATAGATTAAGTATATGCCAACCTTTCCTTCTGAGTTAAAAACTGTAGTATTTTCTGATACAAATAAATTTTTATTGACTCTCTGGGGTTGCCTCAATATGCATAATTTAGCTATATTGGCATATGGGAAGACTAAAATGTTAACTGTTTTTATTTAATGAAGGAATTTATGAGAATACCTAGCTTAACAGGTATTTAGTAACTGTTAATATATTCCTTCTCCATTCCTAATCCTGTTCTTTATCATCATTAAAGTTGATGCTTTTAAATTGTTTCTTTACTTGTCCATCACTACCCTAGATTATATTCTATTTATAGCCAAGAAAAGTGTCTTTCACCACTTTTCTTAGAGGTGTAAACCTCTGTGGAGGACACTGATATTTGTCTGCTGTTTGGCCATTCATCTTTTATTATTCTTAGTTTTATTCACCCATTTTCTGTCTGTTGACATTTTAGACCACATTTCTTTGTGTGAAATAATCAAATATTTTCCAGAATATTGGACAGTCTTAGCTGTCATCTGTTAAATGCCAGTGGTGGCCCCAGTCTCCACGACAACCAAAAATATCACCATACATTTCAGAAAACTTCTAGCATGTTAATATTACTTTTAAGCTGATCATAGTCATTTCTTTCTTTCCAAATTGTTGATCTACGTGTGTAACAATGTAATTGTGGCTAAAAAGTATGAGTTCTTTGGGGGGACTTCTGAAAAAAATTTTTCTTGCTAAAATAAAAATAGGCACGTGGGATGAAGTAGTCTTTTTTTTTCCCCCTCTGGATATTGTTGTCACTGAATGAGATGCCTGGAACAGCTGCAGTCATCTAGAGATGAGGCAGGTGCCTTCAGGACAACCCGCTTTGTTGCATAGAGATGGGAAAGTTGGAAAGAATCTGAGTCCACGTTGCTGTCACTGAGTTGCTGAATTAACCCAATTCTGGAACCATCAAACTTTTTATTATATGGGATAATGAAGTTTTAATTTTTAAAGGCACTAACTTAGGAACTCAAAAGTGGAATTTTCTTTCTCTGGTAGCAGAAAGCATCCTGGTACTGGATCAGTGTCTGCATTAGTTAGTATTTTCTTTTCGAGTTGCAGGTAACAGGAAACCAGCCTATGCTATATTAACTAATAAATGGAATCCGCTAAGTCTTAAAATTGAGAAGTCTAGATACAGATGAACTTCAGACATAGCTTGCGAGTGTTTCATCCCTTTCTAAGAAGATGTCTTTACCCTTATGCATATGCCTTATCCTCAGTCTGGCTTTCTGATGGTTGCAAAAATAGTTACCAATGGGGTCAGGCTTTACTTCTTTATAGCATACTGTTTAAAAGAGTTTCTTTGTTTCAGTTCTTAATTTTTGTCTTACTATTTACTGTGCTTAAAATGGCTTGAATCATATGCTGTATTTATTAGTTTCCTAGGGCTGCTATAGCAAAGGACCACAAAGTAGGTGTCTTATAACAGCAGAAATGTATTGTCTCATTGTTCTGGAGGGCAGAAGTTTGAAATCACGGTGTCAGCATGGCCATGTTCCCTCTGAAGGTGCTGGGGAAAGATCTATTCCACATCTCTTTTGTAGCTTCTGGTAGTTCTTTGACTTGTGGCAACATAACTTGAGTCTTTACATGGGATTCTCCCTGTATGTCCCAAATTTCTACTTTTTGTAAGGATATCAGTCATACTGGGATACCCTTTTTCTAAGGATATTAGTCACCTCTCAACTCCAATGTGACCTCATTGTAACTAAGTGCACCTACAGCAATCCTATTTCTGAATAAGGTCGCATTCTGAGGTTCTGGGGGTTAGTACCTCAACATATGATTTTTTTTTTGGGACACAATTTAACCCATATCATACATGCCTATCACTAAAGCAGTTATTGTGGTTTAAGGGATGGCCTAGCCTAACGTCATCCCTGTAGATGGGGGATCATGGGAGCTGAGAGTCACTATATTCCTGAAACCACAGTATTCCAAACAAAAATGGATGATTGGTAGGAATGGGGAGAGGGGAGAATGATAATTGGGAGACAGACAACAATTTTCTACTACCTAGAAGACACTTAATGTGTATTAAGTGTATGAAGTTTTTCACTTTGTAATTTCTATTCAAGCCAAGCTGCCCAGTGCCTAACTAATTATAAAAATGAATCTGAAATTCTTTTACTTTTGGGGTTTTAAAGCTACTTTTGATTTTGTGTATAGTAAAGCTTAAATAAATTTTAATAAGTTTTGACTGTTTATTTTATAAATTTGCCTTACAATCAACTTTAAAAAAATTTTACACTGCCGGGCATGGTGGCTCAAGCCTGTAATCCCAGCACTTTGGGAGGCCGAGAAGGGTGGATCACGAGGTCAAGAGATCGAGACCATCCTGGTCAACATGGTGAAACCCCGTCTCTACTAAAAATACAAAAAATTAGCTGGGCATGGTGGTGCGTGCCTGTAATCCCAGCTACTCAGGAGGCTGAGGCAGGAGAATTGCCTGAACCCAGGAGGCGGAGGTTGCGGTGAGCCGAGATCGCGCCATTGCACTCCAGCCTGGGTAACATGAGTGAAACTCCGTCTCAAAAAAAAAAAAAAAAATTTTACACTTGCTGCACATTTTATTTTAGGTAAGCCAAGATAATCTATGTATATTTGTGATTTAATGTATCATTCTAATATTCCAGTGTAGAAAGAAGGATATGTGGCAGATTTTTGCCGAATTTTACAATTTTTTTCTAATCTATAGGTATAGATGAGAGATCTATACTGAGAGAAAGGACAAAACTTTGGTTCCTAAGTTTGTAATAAATTCATTTTCAGCAAACTGCACCTATGCTTTGTACCTCGTTGACAAGAAATACAGTATTTATAAACTGAACTCCCTTCACTCCTTTCTACTCATTTTCCCCCCTCCAAACATACTTAAAAAATTAATACTTTAAAAAAGTTTGAAATATCATAGACTTACAAGAAATTAAGTAGAAAATGGTAACTTTTTCTTTAAACCATTTGAGAATAAATTCCTAGCCTGTTGTCTTGTTACCCCCAATACTTTTTAGTGTTTAATTCCTACAAACAGAACATTTTCCTCCATAAACACAATTAAACGTCAAAATAAGAAAATTAATGTTGATAAGTTACTACTGTCTAACCCTCAGACCCCATTCAAGTTTCACCAGTTGTCTCAGTCATATCCCACATGCAGTTCTAATTTACATGTTAGTTGTCACGTCTCTTTAGTCTCCTTCAGTTTGCAACAGATTCTTAGTTTCTGTCAGTTTTTCATGGACTTCATTACTTTTGAAGATTATTAGCTAATTATTTTGTATCTCTCAGTTTGTATTTTTCTGATGTTGCTGCCTATTTATATTCAAGTTATTCATTTTAAGCAATACTGTTATAGAAGTTATGCTATGTTCTTTTCATTGCATTCTGTCAGATTACATGACTTTTGATTCAGCCTAATTCTGATTGACTTTATCAAAATTTATCCATTCTATTGTTAATAGGCATTTGGCTTTTCCTTTTTTTTCCTTTGGTTATCATAAATACTGCCGTTGTGAACATTGTAACATATTTTAGCAAATATTTCTGTTGGTTATATGTTTAAGAACGGAATTGTAGGGTATTGAGTATATTCGTGTTCAACTTTAATGGATTTAGATTTACTTTAAATGGATTTATTGTGGCTTGATGTGGTGGCTCATATCTGTAACCCCCGTCCTTTGGAAGGCCAAGGCAGGAGGATTGCTTGAGCTCAGGAGTTTGAGACCAGTCTGGGCAACATAGTAAAAATTCATCTCTACTACCGAAATAGAAAAGGAAAAGAAAAAATAGCCGGACTTGGTGGCATGCGCCTGTAGTCCTAGCTACTTGGGAGGCTGAGGTGGGAGGATCACTCGAGCCCAGGAGATCAAGGCTCTCCTTGATCATGCCACTGAACCACAACTTGGGCAACAGAGTGAGACCCTGTCAGAAAGAAAGAAAGAGAGAGAGGGAGGGAGAGGGAGGGGGAGGGGGAGGGGGAAAGGGAGGGAGGGGGAGAGAGAGGGAGGGAGGGAGAGAGAGGGAGGGAGGGAGAGGGAGGGAGGGAGGGAGAGGGAGGGAGGGAGAGAGAGGGAGTGAGGGAGAGGGAGGGAGGGGGAGAGAGAGAGAGAAGAGAGAAAAGGAGAGAAAGAGAAAAAGAAAGAAGAAAGAAGAGAGGGAGGGGAAGGGAGAGAGGGAGGGGAAGGGAAGGAAGGAGAGAAAGAGAAAGAAAGGAAAAGAAAGAAAGAAAGGGATTTGCCTTGATTACAGGTGGGTTGTGGAGC